ACCATTGCAGGGATGTACTGAATGTTCTTTTTTAATGATTTAATGCATTTGCGCAGTGATAATCTTTTTTTTTTTTTTTTTTAACTAAAAGTGGAGTTTTCCTTTAAGATTGATAAAAGCAGCTTTTGCTCCTCTCTCTCCGGCTCTCCCCCCATCAGAGGGTTTTACATGTGTAATGAGGATTCCGGCTGATGAGAGGGGAGATTTATCAGGTAGTGTAACCTTCCATGGCTCCGCTCTGCGGTTCTCACGCCTGATAAGGACGGGGCTCAGCGCCATCACCAGATGGATTCACTTCGGGATTAATCTCCTTCTGCAATCAGCTTATCGCCAGCGAAGGTTTATTGGATTATCTCATCACAGGCCGAACCGGATCTGACCGCATCTAATTATCTGCTACCTGTCTCTTCCCTCCAAACCAGCAAATTTCATGTGTTTCTGGGGATAATGATAAGAAGCATATTCCGTGTTCATCTCTGCAGTACAGGCACATTGCCCGGGTTTTGTCTTTTTGAAAATACACCAAGTAAAGATAGATACTGTTTGATCCTGCCAGAAATTCGGTGAGCTCCTAACTTCCTGTAGTGAGCTGACTCCCAGTGCATGTCCTGCATGAATCCTACTGGAATTCTACCCTGCCGCAATTCAAAACCCCTCCCTCTCTCATCTCCATGTTCCCTCCCCATTTACAAAACCCCTCCCCCTCATTTCCATATTCCCTCCCCATTTACAAAACCCCTCCCCCTCTCATTTCCATATTCCCTCCCCATTTACAAAATCTCCCCCCCCCCATCTCCATATTCCCTCCCCGTTTACAAAACCTCCCTCTCTCATCTCCATGTTCCCTCCCCATTTACAAAATCCCTCTCTCTTCCATCTCCATGTTCCCTCCCCATTTACAAAATCCCTCCCCCTCTCATCTCCATATTCCCTCCCCATTTACAAAATCTGCCCCCCCTCATCTCCATATTCCCTCCCCATTTACAAAATCCCTCCCCCTCTCATCTCCATATTACCTCCCCATTTACAAAATCCCTCCCCCTCTCATCTCCATATTCCCTCCCAATTTACAAAATCCCTCCCTCTCCTCATCTGTAAAACCCCTCCCCATTTACAAAATCCCTCCCTCTCCTCATCTTTTTTAACCCCCTCCCCATTTACAAAATCTCTCCCTCTTCTCGTCTCTATAATCCCTCCCTCTCCTCCTCTCTATATAACCCCTCCCCGTTTCCAAAATCTGGTCCTGTCCTCGTCCCTAACCCCTCCCCATTTACAAAATCTCTCTCTCCTCGTCTCTAACCCCTCCCCATTTACAAAATCTCGTCCTCTCCTCATCTCTCTAACCCCTCCCCATTTACAAAATCTTCCTCCCCTGGTCTCTATAACCTCTCCTCATTCTCAAAAATCCCTCCCTCTCCTCGTCTCTTTAACCCATTTCCAAAATTCTTCCCTCTCCTGGTCTCTATAACCCCTCCCCATGTACAAAATCTCTCCCTCTCCTCATCTTTATAACCCCTCCCCATTTACAAAATCTCTCCCTCTCCGCATTTCTGTAACCACTCCCCATTTACAAAATCCCTCCCGCTCCTCGTCTCTATAACCACTCCCCATTTACAAAATCTCCCTCTCCTGGTCTCTATAACCCCTCCCCATTCTCAAAATCCCTCCCTCTCCTTGTCTCTATAACATCTCCCCATTTCCTAAATCCCTCCCTCACCTGGTCTCTATAACCCCTCCCCATTTACAAAATCTCTCCCTCTCCTCCTCTCTGTAAGCCATCCCCATTTCCAAAAATCTCGTCCTTTCCTCGTCTCTATAACCCCTCCCCATTCTCTAAATCCCTTCATCTCTGTAACCCATTCCCAAAATGCCTCCCTCCTTGTCTGTATAACCCACTCCCCTTCTCATCTCCATTATCTAGGGGAGCATTTCTGTAGGCCAGCAGAAGAGAACTGGGCAGCATTATATGTAGGCAAAAAATGGCTGAAATAGGTTGGAGGAGTTCAGCAGCACTGTGATCCCCCCCACTGCTTTTCTTTATAACCCCTCCTCATTCCCAAAAATCTTCCCTCTCTTCTTTATAATCCCTCCCCATTTCCAAAATCCCTCCCTCTCTTTTTCTCTATAATCCCCATTTCCAAAATCAATCCCTCCCTCTCCTCGTCTACATAACACCTCCCCATTCCCTAAATCCCTCCCTCTCGTCTCTATAACACCTCCCCATTCCCTAAATCCCTCCCTCTCCTTGTGTCTAACCCTCCCCATTCCAAAATCACTCCCTCTCCTCCCCATTCTCAAAATCCCTCCCTTCTTGTCTCTATAACTCCTCCCAATTCCCAAAATCCTTCCCTCCTTGTCTCTATAACCCCTCCCCAAACCCAAAATCCCTCCTTCTCGACTCCATAAACCCTCCCCATTCCCCAAATCCCTCCCTGTCCTCGTCTTTTATAACCCCTCCCTATTCCCCAAATCCCTCCCTCTCCTCGTCGTCTACTTAACCTCTCCCCATTCCCAAAATCCCTCCCTCTCCTTGTCTCTATAACCCCCCTCCCTATTCCCAAAATCCCTCCCTCTTGTCTTTTTATCTTCTCCCCATTCCCAAAATCACTCCCCTTCTCATCTCCATAATCTAGGGGAGCATTTATGTAGACCAGCAGAGGAGAACTGGGCAGCGATTATATGTTGACAAAAAAATAGCTGAAATAGGTTGGAGGAGATCAGCAGCACTGTGATTCCCCCCCACTCCTTTTCTCTATAACCCTTCCTCATTCCCAAAACTCTTCCCTCTATTCTTCTCTATAATCCCTCCCCATTTCCAAAATCCCTCCCTCTCTTTTTCTCTATAATCCCTTCCCATTTCCAAAATCAATCCCTCCCTCTCCTCATCTCCATAACCCCTCCCATTCCCTAAATCCCTCTCTCTCATCTCTATAACACCTCCCCATTCCCTAAATCCCTCCCTCTCCTTGTGTCTAACCCCTCCCCATTCCCTAAATCCCTCCCTCTCCTTGTGTCTAACCCCTCCCCATTTCCAAAAAATCCCTCCCTCTCCTTGTCTCTCGAACTCCCCCATTCTCAAAATCCCTCTCATTGTCTATAACTCTTCCCCATTCTAAAAATCCCTCCCTCTCGTCTCTATAACTCCTCCCAATTCTCAAAATCCTTGTCTCTATAACCCCTCCCCAAACCCCTCCCTCTTGTCTTTTTATCTCCTCCCAATTCCCAAAATCACGCCCCTTCTCATCTCCATAATCTAGAGGAGCATTTCTGTAGACCAGCAGAGGAGAACTGGGCAGCGATTATATGTAGACAAAAAATGGCTGAAATAGGTTGGAGGAGATCAGAAGCACTGTGATCCCCCCCACTCCTTTTCTCTATAACCCCTCTTCATTCCCAAAACCCTTCCATCTATTCTTCTCTATAATCCCTCCCCATTTCTGAAATCTCTCACTCTCCTCCTCTCCATAACCCCTGCCCATTCCCAAAATCCCTCCTCCTCGACTCCATAACCCCTTCCCTTTCCCAAAATTCTTCCCTCTTATCCCTATAACCCCTCCCCATTCTCAAAATCCCTCCCTCTCCTTGTCTCTATAACTCCTCCCCATTCCCAAAATCCCTCCTTCTCCTGGACTCCATAACCCCTCCCCATTCCCCAAATCCCTCCCTCTCCTCGTCTCTATAACCACTCCCCATTCTTTAAATCCCTCTCTCTTCTTGTCTATATGAAACCTCGCCATTCCTAAACTCCCTCCATCTCCATAATCTAGGGGAGCATTTCTGTAGACCAGCAGAGGAGAACTGGGCAGCGAGTACATGTAGACAAAAAATGGCTGAAAGTTGTTGGAGGAGATCAGCAGCACTATGATACCTCCTTCTCCTTATCTCTATAACCCCTCCTCATTCCCAAAACTCTTCCCTCTATTCTTCTCTATAATCCCTCCCCATTTCCAAAATTCCTCCCTTTCTTTGTCTCTATAATCCCTTCCCATTTCCAAAATCCCTCCCTCTCCTCATCTCTATAACCCCTCCCCATTCCCAAAATCCCTCCCTCTCCTTGTCTCTATAACTCCTCCCATTCTCAAAATCCCTCCCTCCTCATCTCTATAACTCCTCCCCATTTCAGAAATCCCTCCCCCTCCTTGTCTCTATAACCCCTCCCCCTCATCTCTATTACCCCTCCCCATTCCCAAAATCCCTCCTTTTCCTCGACTCCATAACCCCTCCATTACCTAAATCTCTCTCTCTCTCCTTGTCTCTATAACCCCTCCCCATTCCCAAAATTCCTCCCGCTCCTCATCTTTTATAACACCTCCCCATTCCTTAAATCCCTCCCTCTCCTCGTCTCTATAACTCCTCCCTATTCCCCTAATCCCTCCCTCTTGTCTTTTTATCTCATTCCTAAAATCCCTCCCTCTCCTCATCTCCATATTCTCGGCGGAGCATTTCTGTAGGCCAGCAGAGGAGAACTGGACAGCGAGTACATGTAGACAAGAAGTGGCTGGTTGAGACTGGAGGAGATCAGCAACATTGAGATGGAGGAAAATGATAAAAGCAGAACTTTATAAAAAGCTGATCCCGTTTTTTATTCGTGTTTTACACCTTTGTAGAGTCTCTTCTCTCCTGTACTAGAATTACTCTGATTTCACTGCACACTGTGAGCTTATCACAATGTACATTAGAACCTGCAGCAAGTCAGATAGAGCCCGCCCTATTTCCTGGCTGGAGGACGTCCAGCATCATCCAGCCCTTAGCAGCATGAATGCCCCTGGCCTGTCTCTTTCATTGATTGCATATCAGTTCATTCAATCATGGAGGCTCAGTATCACATATGTGCAATCTGTATGCAAATACAATCTGCCCAGGAAGGCCCACTCCTCCAGGCTAACATCCACCACCAGGCAGACTAAATGTCATCCCGCTTGGCTATACTCTACAGCCCCATTGGTGCAATAAAACCTGAAACTGGCAAATCTCCTGTAACTACAATTCCTATTCTGCAGGTGGCCTGCTGGTTGCTGGACCCCGGCTCCAAGGAACGAACCATTCACAACATGGTGACAAACTTCCTGCCGCATGAGCTCCCCTTGCTGGACGGAGTTGGAACTGGCCAAGGAGTTCAGAGCCTGGGACTCTGTGCTGGTGGTGACCAATCAGGGCGCTACAGAGCAGCCATAGAATCGGTTCTCACCTTTGGCATCATGACCAAGCTGGACGGGCTTTTAGAAAGAGAGAAACTAAAAGGTAATGACCGCTCCTCCCCCTCTCATCTTAAAGGGGATGTCCTCCATTCTTTTGTCTGGGTCAACCTAGGCCTTTCTATCATCCATCAGAGGTCTTTATTTCCACTGGACCAAAACCATTATAATTTCAAGAGGTCTGGAGTCAGGAACAGTCTGCATCTTAGCGACACGGAGGGAATCCGGACCTGTAGCAGAAACTACTTTTCCTTTTGAAAATGCTGCTTGTCTGGTCATCATGTTTGTGCACTTCCTTTGGTACTTGTCAATGACATGGAATAAGCTTGGGTTCTGACTTCACTGGCTGCATACTTGTCCTGCATCAGTGACTTAAAGTATTACCATAGAGTGCCAGACCTGATTAGGTGCCTGAGATGGAGCGTTAGCCCCATATTTCTCTTTGTGTATTTGCTTTAGGGTGAAGGACGCCCAGTCACTGGCTGTCTTCTGGGAGCTCCATGGGGAGAGGCAGGGCAGAGACACAAACCACTGCAGGAAATCTCAGCATTGTGGGAGGGGCAGAGACACCTTGTGGGAGGGGCAGAGACACAAACCACTGCAGGAAATCTCAGCATTGTGGGAGGGGCAGAGACACCTTGTGGGAGGGGCAGAGACACAAACCACTTCAGGAAATTTCAGCATTGTGGGAGGGGCAGAGGCACCTTATGGGAGGGGACAGAGACACAAACCACAGCAGGAAATCTCAGCATTGTGGGAGGGGCAGAGACACCTTATGGGAGGGGGCAGAGACACAAACCACTGCAGGAAATCTCAGCATTGTGGGAGGGGCAGAGACACAAACCACTGCAGGAAATCTCAGCATTTTGGGAGGGGCAGAGACACCTTGTGGGAGGGGCAGAGACTCAAACCACTGCAGGAAATCTCAGCATTGTGGGAGGGGCAGAGACACCTTGTGGGAGGGGCAGAGACACAAACCACTGCAGGAAATCTCAGCATTGTTGGATGGGCAGCACCTTGTGGGAGGGGCAGAGACACAAACCACTGTAGGAAATCTCATTGTGGGAGGGGACAGAGACACACAAATCACTGCATGAAATCTCAGCATTGTTGGATGGGCAGACACCTTGTGGGAGGGGCAGGGACACAAACTACTGCAGGAAATTCAGCATTGTGGGAGGGGCAAAGACACACTGTGGGAGAGGTAGAGACAAACTACTGCAGGAAATCTCCCCATTGTGGGAGGGGCAGAGACACAAACTACTGCAGGAAATCTCCCCAATATGGGAGGGGGGCAGAGACACAAACTACTGCAGGAAATCTCCCCATTGTGGGAGGGGCAAAGACACTTTGTGGGAGAGGTAGAGACAAACTACTGCAGGAAATCTCCAAATTGTGGGAGGGGCAGAGACACAAACTACTGGTGGAAATCTCCCCCCATTGTGGGAGGGGCAGAGACACAAACTACTGGTGGAAATCTCCCCATTGTGGGAGCGGCAGAGACACAAACTACTGGTGGAAATCTCCCCATTGTGGGAGCAGCACAGACACAAACTACTGGTGGAAATCTCCCCATTGTGGGAGGGGCAGCTGACACACAAACTACTGGTGGAAATCTCCCCATTGTGGGAGGGGCAGAGACACAAAAACTACTGGGGGAAATCTCCATATTTTGGGAGGGGCAGACAAACTACTGCAGGAAATCTCCCCATTATGTGAGGGGCAGAGATGAAAACTACTTTTAGGGAAATCTCCCCATTGTGGGAGGGGCAGACACAAACTACTAAATGAAATCTCCCCATGGTGGGAGGGGCAGAGATGCAAACTACTATAGGGAAATCTCCTCATTGTGGGGGGGGCAGACACAAACTACTGAGGGGTGGAGTCACACATTATTAGCAAGCAATGTCCCCATTGTGGGAGGATGGAGGCATGAATCACAGCGGGGAAAGCTTCCATTTCACATGTTCAGTACTGACCAGCCTTCCTGCTCTGCATTCTTCATTGTGGGTTTCTCCGCTCACTTCTGAATAACATCAATGCTGCTCCAGAATATAAAATAAACACAATGACTCCAATGAGCAGTTCAGTTTTGAATGGAGCTGCCTTTAATATCACCTGGACTGGGAACTTCTCCCAGAAATAGTAATCTGTGATGATGTATTATTCAGGCTGGTTTTTCTTCTGTCTTGTCCATCCACAGATGTATTCCGCAATGTGGAGATGCCCACTCAGTTACTGCCTGGGGCTCCTGGAGCTGAACGGCATTGGATTCAGTACGGAGGAATGCGAGACCCAGAAACACATCATGCAGGCCAAGCTGACCGAGATCGAGGCCCAGGCCTACCAGCTGGCCGGACACAGCTTCTCGCTGACCAGTCCTGATGACGTCGCTCAGGTACCAGGCCAACCTCATCCGTCTTTATGGGTGGGATTGGCTCAGCACTGGTTAGGAAACATAGAGAGCCTGTGCTGACTTTAGCATTCTCATTTCTTTTTTGCAACCCTAACAATGAGCTTTCTATTCGCTCTCTTGCCTGTGACGCTGTTTTGCTTTGCATCTATTAGGTCACTTTGCAGTAAAAGCGAGGAAGTTTAGAAACCTCTGTAGTGTATTATCGTGCTTTTACTAAAGAAATGCTCTACATACAAACTGATACAATTGTAGGAATATGGTACAAGACTGACAGATATTATAAAATATGCCCACAACATGCGCAAACTATCCATCCTTCCTAATGAATAAGTGCGTATAATGTATCCAATAAGTGTACTAAATATCTTACTTAACTTATGTCGTCTTATGGCTCCTTCCCTCACTTGATTGTCCAAATCCTCTCTCTAACCTGTAGCATCTTTTTTTTTTCCTGTCCTGAGCTCCACGAACCAGCCCAACAGGTTTGTTAGCACATCAATAGAGGAATCTTGGCTTCTAAACAATATATGCTCTAAAATGTAACAATTTACATATCTAGGCTATATAAAAAAAAATCACCAAAATAGCCATAGCAACACAGATGCAAATATTGTTCCCAGTTTTTCTGTGTGCACTACAGATCACCTCCCCACTATCTGCAGTGGGGGATGCTGCTGTCCCCATTGCATCTCCCAATGGATGGGACTATCTACTGAAGGGGGAGGTGACTTGATGGCACTATTGGGGAGTAGGGGCATATATGAGCAGTAACAGAGGCCTCAGTGAGATCTATGCCTAGCTCTTGACTAGAAGTTGTGGTATAAAAGAAGTGAAAAACTATAATGAAAAATATTATATATAACAAAAAAAAAAACTCCTATCTATCTATCTATCTATCTATCTATCTATCTATCTATCTATCTATCATCTATCATCTATCTATCTATCTATCTATCTATCTATCTATTATCTATCTTTTCTATCATCTATCTATCTATCTATCTATCTATCTATTATCTATCATTATCTATCTATCTATCTATCTATCTATCTATCTATTATCTATCTCCCATTGTGTCGGGCCCTCAGGTGTGCTGCACCCATGCGTTTGGAGCCCACACAGTAAAAACCTCTTCCTTCCACTGAGATCTGATACGGGTCCTCTTTGCAATTCTGTGTTGTGTTTCTCATTGACCTGATGATCTCCATTCTCTGGCGTAGCCTGTCAGACGCCGTCCTGTAATCTGTTCTATATGGTCTGTGCACATAGAACAGATTAGATAGCATGTCACGGATTGTACATCAGGGACTGTCATTGTGGACGGGCTGTGTGCTTTTTTTTTTTTGTAATATGGTCGTTGAGTTCCTACATCCTCTGTGTGTATTCAGGTCCTGTTCATCGAGCTCAAACTCCCTCCCAATGGGGACATGAAAGGTCAGGGGAACAAGAGGACTCTGGGCTACACCAGGAGGGCGGCCATCAATGGAAACCGAATCCGACTCGGCAAGCAATTCAGCACTACCAAGGTATCCAATGAATACGTAATATCAGTTTATCGATCTGGTAAAAGACAACAGTGCTGCCCGTGAAATATTTTACCCCGTTCCCTAACACTATCATCCACGTTTAAAAAAAAACACTTCAAGTACAGAAATCCGGTGAGCTCTGGTCTTCCTATATAGTGTGATGACAGCACAGTGCCTCTGCTTTACTAATAGCCCAACCAGCGTTGCTCTCCCCTGGTGGACTACAGAACACCTCCCCCTTAAATTCTGGAGATGCGGAAAGTGTAATGGACACCAGTAACATCTGGAAAATAATATTTAGGAAAAGTTAGAGTTCATGTTTTTTAGAGCTAAATTTAGGGCTTAAAAACCTAAAAAAGAAAAAAAAGTTTAAATATAATCTTCAATAGACACAAAAGATATGTTGACTCAGTGTGTACCGAAGTCCATCGCAGTCACAGGTAGTGCCTTATAAAAACAGCAGTGACATCATGACTGGTGCTGTACATTGCCTGTGCAGACAGCAGAGTTGTGGGAGGGGTCCCAGCAGGCTCCACCCACTACAGATCGCTGAAAACTACAGGAGGGGGCGGAGACAAGACCTGCGAGCCCTCTGGGGCACCCAGTACGGCATTCCCGCGACAACACAGCGATTTGCGGCTCCCAGTACCCGGTTGCTTTAATGGGCTGGAGGATCATGTGATAGCTATGCGATCGCATGATCACAATGTCAACAATTCATAACAGCTGCGATTCTTATAGAGATGCTGTGATTAGCTCCCACAGCTCTCACATGATACCTAGACCAGTCACATCACCCTATACCACGTGATAGCTGTGGGCCAATCACAGCCGTTTGAATGTAACCCATTCATGACCGTGCAAAACATTGCTGTTACAGTGATCATCACTGTAACTGCAATCAAAGTGTAGAAAAAAAAAAATCCTTGATCACTCCCCCAGAGTAGTAAACTATGGTGACGTTGAACTACTCTGATAACAGGATAAAAAAAAAAAAAAAAAATATGTTTAAAAAAAGTTTAAATAAATGAAATAAAATTTTTTTTTTTTTTATTCCTGATCGCCACCACAACAGTCATATGATGGCACTGTATTGCACTGGTGACAGCTTGTTAACCACTTCCAGTCCGGACACTTCCCCCCCCCTTCCAGTCCGGACACTTCCCCCCCCTTCCAGTCCGGACACACTTCCCCCCCCTTCCAGTCCGGACACCCCCCCCCCCCCCCCCCCCCAGGCCAATTTTCAGCTTTCAGTGCTATCACACTTTGAATGACAATTGCGCGGTCATGCAACACTGTGCCCATATGAATTTTTTATCATTTTTTGAGACAGATAAAACTTTATTTTGGTGGTATTTATTCATCACTGGGATTTTTACTTTTTTTGCTATATAAATGAAAAAGTCCAAAAATTTTGAAAAAAAAGTGTTTTTCTTATAAAATTTTACAAATAAATAATATTTCATCATAAATCCTGGCCAAAATTTATTCCGTTATCTTTTTAGTAAAAAAAAAAATAACTCAAATTAGTTTATAACCAAAAATTATAATTTTTAAAAAAAATTTTTTTACATTTTTATTTTATTTTATTTTTTTATATTATTTATGGGGTTTTTTTTTCTACATACTGTCACCCTAGTGGTACAGTGTCACCATTGTGACACTGTACTACTTGTGGGGGGTGATGAAGATTTTTTTTTTATACACTGATTGCTTTTACACCCATAAAGGCTGTAAAAGCAATCATTTCTCCTTCTCTCTGGCTGCATTCTTGCAGCCATTGAGAAATACTGTGAGAGCTGTGATTGGTCACAGCTTGTCACATGGTACAAGGCTGTTGTGAATAGCCTTGTACCATGTGACCTCTGTGATCATTCACAGATTTCACACGTAGTAAGCAATGATGTCACAAGTGACATCTTGCTGACTACTCTGCATGTGATCACTGATTGGCCAATCAGTGATTTATTTATTTATTTATTTCAGGTATTTATATAGCGCTGTCAATTTACGCCGCGCTTTACATATATATTGTACATTCACATCAGTCCCTCACCCTCAAGGGGCGTACAATCTAAGGTCCCTAACTCACATTCATACACATACTAGGGCCAATTTAGACAGGATCCAATTCACCTACCAGCATGTCTTTGGAGTGTGGGAGGAAACCAGAGTACCCGGAGGAAACCCACGCAGGCACAGAGAGAACATGCAAACTCTAGGCAGGTGGTGCCGGGGTTGGGATTCAAACCAACGACCCTAGTACTGCCAGGCAGAAGTGCTAACCATTTAGCCACTGTGCTGCCCCAGTGATCACATGATCGGGACCTCACGTAGAGGTCCCGTCCGACGATCGGTGTTCCACTGTGTCCGGAGGACACAGCGGGCACTGGATCGCGGTGCTGCGCACTGCCTGCGCGCTGTTTATAAATGGCCACCCGACCCTGCACTGCCACCGTCCGGCCGTTTATATACAACGGCCTGACGGGTGGTGGTTAAAAAAAAAAAAAAAAAAAATTTAATTCATATTTCAAAACATCGTGACAAACATTACAACTTCAAAAAGCTGGCCATGCCTCTTACTGAATACCTCAGACTGTCTACTTTCCAAAAAGGGGTCATTTGGGGGGTATTTGTACTGTCCCGTCATTTTTGGAGCTCAAGAAATGAAAGCCGCCATCATCAGGATTGATCAATTTTCAAATATATATATATATAACATAGTTTGTAGATTCTATAGCTTTCACACAAACCAATTAATATACACCTATTGGGATTTTTTTTTTTCTACCAAAGACATGTAGCAGAATACATTTTGGCCTAAATTCATGAAGAAATTTGATTTTATTGGATATTTTTTTTTTTAACAGAAAGTAGAAAATATAATTTTAAAAA